AACACTTATGACTAACTTGCTTTGTTCTGAGTCTGGATCCAACCCAGCACGTTACGTTTCAGTGCTTGGGTGCTGCAGCTTGATACACAGTGAAACGTACTTTTGTATAAATATGGTGAGCCATGCTTTCTCTTTGTATTATTTCAGAAGAAACCGACAGAGTCACACCTCCACTTGATCTTCATAAGCTGTTAAAGGAATAGATTACTTTTTAGCTTTTATAATAATTCATTTTACTACATTATTTTCATGATGTAGGCATGGGGAAATTGCTTTCAGTTATCATTTTGGATGCTGGTGATTTTAAACACATAACACTCCATTATAAAAACGGAATAACTGGAATACTCCACGTATTTTTTTTTGAAAAAAACACATTTAAAGTCCTACACAGATTGCGCCCAACCTACCTACTGGATTGCATGTGCCCATATGAGTTCCTGTGCTACTTGAGATAATCTGGAAGTGCCCTTCTAAAGGTGCCAACTGCCAGCTATCCTTCCGTGTTGCTGCCCCATGTGCTGGAATTCTCTTCCTGAATTATGACATCCCTGCAGGGATTCAAGCAGGGATATGAGGCAGCATTGTTTCAGTGGGTCTTTAACTGTTAGGAAACTGATATTCCACCACTTATGGAGTAAGCATTCATTATATGGTGATGTTTATAAAAATTCTCTAGATTGTTGCTGATATTATTGTACTTTATTATTTATGTGAAGTTGTTCTGTGTTGTATATGCTACATACAACAATGCATTGTTTTTGTTTTGTGCACCTTTCTGGATATGTTTGGATAGAAGAATAGCGTATAAATGAAAGGAATAAATGAAGAAATAAATTTAAAACACAGTCTTTTGGTGAAACATGTTTATGTGGCATTTCAGTACTAGGTATGTGCATTGTTTTTTTTGTAATACCAGCCATGGGAGGAGAACTTTTTAAAGTTTAGCTTTAACATGGGAAAATTTTCATTGTGGAGAGTTTGTATCCATCAAAATTGTCCTAAAAGAATAACTTGTTTGTAAGTAGAAAATGTGTGTTTATATCTCAGATATCTTACAAAAAGGACCAGCTGCCCCATGGCACTTGCATATGTATACTCTACGTATGAATTTTCCTCCAATATGGTTTTGTATTTATGCAGGCAAATTCTAATGTCAGGAGTGTTCCTGAGGCTAACGGCTGCCATATACTCACATTTATTGTTTAAGATGTGTTTGTCATCAATTGAAAGAATTTGCCTCTTTGTTCTATCTAGGGAACATAGTTATTCTCTGAAATTATCACAGCTCCTTTAATTATCTGTATCAGGATATTAAAAAACAGGTGATTCATCTGAAGAAATTATCATATAAATAACTGTTAAGTCAGTATTTTTCATTTTATTAACTAGGGCCTCAACCAATATTTAGCATGTTTTTTGTTTTGTTTTGTTCTGTTTAATAACAGGAACCAAGCTGTGTCTGTTTTGAATGCTGCAATATAGAAGTGTAAGCACTTGTAATGGCATGTAATTTTCACTTTACCTGGTGGATACATTTTACAGTACAATATTCCTGTTGTTCTCTATGGAAGATGACACTACTGTACATGCATTCATAATTTTACTTGTAGAATTTATTTGTGGTTAGACTCTACAAAAAAAAAGCTCCAGGAATTCCTCAAGTAGTTTGCAGCATGAGAAAGGAACAGTACACAATTCTAGTTTAAAACAATGCCTTTAAAACATCTTCTGTGCAATTTACATACTATCAACTGAGCAGGCTGTAAAAAGTATGTCTAACAGAATCCACAAAACGCCTCACTCGACACATGCCCTCTGAAATACATTTTAAAAAATCTCTTTGAAAATCATGAAAGCCATTGAAAGCGATTTGGACAGTGGTTTTGGGGAGAGAGTTCCGCAACTAAACTGCTATTGTAGGAAAGACTGCATCCAAACCATGCACTTATTCTGCCTGATTTCTGTCCTTGAAACATGTTGGTAAGAGTCTGCTAATCCAACTGCTTTTGCTTCCCACAAATACTGTTTCTGAAAAGTGGTGCTGTGTGGACTGTGAGCTTGTTGACCACAAGGCAGAAAAATAAAAAAAAATCTGTTTACCACAACAGTTGGATTATTTAATCTTAGAATATTAAGTATTCCCTTATTATATCTGTATGGGAGTGCATTACTTCCCTTCCACCACCACCTCCTCCTTAGCCCACAGACTGGGTATTTTATTGGTGCCTAGAATTGTTCTTCACTTTCATCCAGGACAAGTCACCATAACAAGTCATCATGGTTATCTGTGTTCTTCAAGCTCCACAACATAGATCGAAGAGCTCAGGTGGAGCTTTCATTTGGGCTGTACACTAGTCTTCCCTTGCATAATATTTGCCCTCCACCAGTGGCTGTGCTACTCATATGGTGTCCAACCTTGGCCCCCCAGATGTTCTTGGACTTCAACTCCCAGAAATCCTGGCCAGCAGAAGTGGTGGTGAAGGCTTCTGGGAGCTGTAGTCTAAGAAAATCTGCAGGGCCAAGGTTGGACACCACTGCAATAGACCATGAAGAAAAAGCACAGGCTACTTAACTTGTAACTGTAGTTCTTCAAACAGCATCTATGTCTTCACACAACCCAGCTTCTATTACAGCTCCTGCTTGAGAACAGAAATCCAAGATAAGAACAGGAAAAAAAAAACCTTTCCTGCTCTTTTTTTAACCTTAGGTCATCTTAGGTTAAAAAAAATTCTCCCCCTAGTGGTAGAGTACGTATTAACCAGCTTTGCATTAGTTCCTATGGGAACTAATGCTTCAGTGTACAAACGCACCTCTACATAACAAAAAAACAGCCAGAACGGATTAATTGGTTTTCAGTCCATTCCTATGGGAAATTTTGCTTCAACTTAAGAACGTTTCAACTTAAGAACACCATTCCAAAACCGATTAAGTTCTTAAGTAGAGGTTCCACTGTACAGCTCCTGTGGACTTGACTTTTTCTGGCACTACAGTGGTCTCTGTAACAAGAGAGAGCAGCAGCCCTAGTACCATTTGAATGTGCTTAGTCGTGGTAGTGGGGAGATCCACCAAAATTCTGTTCAGTTCTAGCATATTTTGAGTATATGCACAAAACCTGATCGTATACATGAGAACACAGATGACCACTAGAAGAGCTGCAGTTACATAAAAGTAAATTGTTCTTCCTTTTTCTTATATTTGGTTGTCTTACACATGCTTGTGTTTTAAGTATTTTGTTTTTAAATTGTCTTAATATAATCCAGTTAAAGCAGAGATGCACTCTAGGCCACATCTTCCTGGCAGTTAATCTCCACTTCAGCTCATATTGGGGAAGTAAATTTGAGATTTACACAGATGACTTTTTTAAAAGATGGTAACCAGTCTATTTTTACTGTCTGTTTTATGCTATTGCAATTTTTACCATGGGAATTATTTCAACTGCTGAAATTGAGACAATCTAGGCAAACCTCCAAGCATAGATGCTTGATTGGAGCAAAGGGCTGACAAAATGACAGTTGGGGGATTTGTTTTTCATATCTGCTACCTAATGGATATTGAATTTCATATAGGACAATATGATTTTCCTTATTTTCAATTTCCTATCTGAAAGTTGCCCTTGTTACACAAAATATATAGTTGTGTGCTATTTACACTATACAGTATTTCTTTTCTATCTGCAAAATATGAAGAGAAGACCCTCCTGAGCAGTTTGTGGAAACTCTTAAATTTATCTTTCCATACCAGCATTTGACACATGGATTGATAGGAACATCCAATAACACACTGAATCCATTGTTGGGGTAGGGTGTGGGAAGAAACCGATATTATTCCACTTGAAAGAAGCTTTGCAGGGAATTGCTACGAAATTCTAGCTCTTGTGTTGAGTGTATTCAATCAAGTGGAAGTTTTTGGCTCTCTTGTACTAGGAATGATGAGGAAATGTGGGAAGGAACTAATTCAAACTGGATATGGCAACTTACTTGACAAGCTTTTGAATGCATAAATAATTTTTTTCAGTGAGTTGATTAGCATGTACCTTGCAGGTGGGAACACATTACTGTTTGGTTTTTTTTTATGTGTATATTTCCATGTAGGATGGCTTGAATCCAATGGTGTCAGTGCTAAAAGGATCAGTTCTTCTTTGCGGCCTCTGTGAATCACCTCCTGGGTAATCTGCGCATGCGTGGAGCCTCGTCGGAAGGTTCTAGAGCTTCTGCGGTAGCAAAAATAAAATATTCGTGCAGACTCCTCCCCCTCAGTATAAGTACCTTGGTGCCTTTGCGGCCTCTGTGAATCACCTCCTGGGTAATCTGCGCATGCGTGGAGCCTCGTCGGAAGGTTCTAGAGCTTCTGCGGTAGCAAAAATAAAATATTCGCGCAGACTCCTCCCCCTGAGTATAAGTACCTTGGTGCCAAGATTCTCCCTTTCAACCTCGTATCGATCACTTCTGTTTTTTTCCTAACGTGAAAGAGAGTTTATTCTTAATTCTTTTATTACTACATACATTTATTTGAACAGGCATGTACTCTGCAAAGAACTATTAATTGAGGGGGGGAGGTTTGCTTGCCAGGTCTCGGAGAACTGAGCTGCTGTGCCAGGAAATGGCTGTGCTCCCCTGAATCTCCAAGCTAGGAAGATAAATCCAAAGGCCCGTGGGGGAAGGGAAGAAACAACTCTCATTTATTGTTATGGGGTGGCTAAACTGCTTGGTACACAGCTCCTATTCTCTCAGAATTGGCATCAGTGCTCACTGGCTTTCTGTGGCTGTCGAGCACTAAACATATCTGCTTAGGAGCTCAAACAGGGAAGCCGCAATGCCACTCACTCCCACACATATGCTGGAGAAATATGGTCCCACTGTTGGAGAGGCCCCTGCCTCCTGTGACATCACAAGGCCCCACAAAGATCCACCTTAGGCATTGGGACCCAGATAGAATGAGGGGATGGGGAAGATGCTCCCATGACAACCCCTGACAAACAAGACAACACTTCAAAACTATTCTTGAAAAATACTTTTATGGTTTTTGCAAAGAGGTTCAACGGGTATCCCGGGTATCCCGGTCCTCAGCGGAGACAGCCTGGCTCAGCTCCAGCAGGACGCCTGCCTTCTGGTCCCTCGCATCACCTTGTGGAAGAGGACGCTTCTGGCCCTGCAAGAGAAAGAGAGAGGAAAAAACAACAACTAAGGGGCGAGCTCATCCACTGCTGTCAACCGGCTCCAACCCAGGCGTATCCACCGACCAATGTTCTGGCAACTTCATCCCGAAGTTCCAACTGCCAACTTCCACTGGCTTCCACCAGGAATATCCACCTGTTCATCTCTTCCACTCCGCTTCTGAAGCCGGCCTCCGCTAGCTCCCAAATGCTTGGGTCACACACACACACACACTCCCCAGTGACATCCCCACGGAACATCAGCCAGCCCATTCACACACACATTCACACACACATTCACACACCATCCAGCCCCCCTGACACACACACACATTCACTCTCCCTCCGACACACTCCCTCCGACACCAACTTCTCTCCGGTCCATCGCCGACATTAGCCAGCTTCAAGCCATGGATCTCCGCCAGCCTCGAGCTGTTAACTCGCAAGCCCACTTAGCAAGTTCAGAACTTGCCTTGGGCAGAAGGGCTGGGTCCCCTGCAGCAGCACCAGCAGCAGCCTCTGCTCTCTCTGCTGAATTGCCCTCTGGCCACTCACCTCCCTTCTGGTCTCCTGCCCTGCCCAGCAAGCCCCTTTTATCTGCCAGCAGAGAGGTGGGGCCCCTGTGAGGTCACAAAAGACCCAGGAGGATGCGGCTGGGTTCCCAAGGCAGCAGCAGCACCACCACCCTCTGGATTGGCTGAGTCCTGGAGGTGATGTCAACAATGCCTCTGATCATGTGATTCATCGATAAAAGCTTGCATTTTATATGATTAAAAATACAGTATTATTAGTTATCACCAGTCACCTGTCTCTCTGATCTTTGAATTGTCGTAGATGACAAGCTAAACATGAGCCAACAGTGTGATGTGGCTACAAAAAAAGGCAAATGCTACTTTAGGCTGCATTAAGGAACCTTGCAGGATTTGTATAGTTTCCAAATCCTGCAAGATTCTGTGTTGTTGTTTAGTCATTTAGTCATGTCCGACTCTTCGTGACCCCATGGACCAGAGCACGCCAGGCCCTCCTGTTTTCCACTGCTTCATGGAGTTGGGTCAAATTCAAAGTTCTAGTCCCCCTCTATTCAGCACTGTTTAGGCCTCACCTTGATATCGGCTTTGCATCCTCTGGACTTCTGATATTGGACTGGCTTATTGGACAATGCAATTGAAATCCCTGGGAACATGACAGGAGTCTACCCTACATATCAGCAATGTCCCCAGCACACTCAATAGCGGCACCCCTACAACTCCTACCAGAAGTTCCATCAAAAGCCTCAGAGGCAGACTTCTTACACATCTTACTACAAACAACAACCTTACCAGTTCAAACCGTGTCAACGGGCCACAACCAGGCACAATGATCACAAAAGCTAGCATCATGGTTGACGTCCAGCTGGCCGAGATCCAAACAACGCACCCCCACATTCCTTTCCTTACACTATGGAAATATTTACCTATATGGGAAACCATCACCATGGATGTTTGGTTACTCTCCATTGTCCGAAGTGGGTACTGCATCCAGTTCCATCAGCTCTCTCTGCCATCACATACCGTCACACCTACATCGCAAACCCTACAAGATGAAATACAGGCACTGCTACTCAAAGATGCCATAGAACCAGTATATCAAAATGACAGAGGTTTTCTCTCTCGTTATTTCACCGTCCCCAAAAAGGACGGAGGCCTGTGCCTCATCCTAGACTTCGGAGAACTCAATCGCCACATCATTACCACCAGATTCCGTATGGTTACCCTTGAGTCTGTCCTTCCCCTGCTCTGAGAAATGACTGGTTTGCTGTGATAGACCTGAGGGACGTCTATTTCCATCTATCTATCCATCCCTCTCACAAGTCCTATCTCCGTTTCCATCTGGGACCCAAACCTACCAGTTCAAAAGACTCCCATTTGAACTCACAACAACTCCCAGAGTCTTTACCAAATGCATGGCTCCTGTAGCAGCTTACTTCAGACTTCACAGGATCCACATTTTCCCATACATCAACAACTGGCTCCTCGTAGTTTGCTCCTGTCACATAGCACAATGAGACATTCAATTTACACTGTCCCTTCTCCACAATCTCAGCCTTGCTGTAAACACAGAAATCCAGGTTACAGCCCACAAGGCTTGTCCAGTATATAAGAGCACTCATAGACTCCACTCATGCTTGAGCATTCCTCCAAACAGACAAAAGACTCAACCTGATATCTTTGCTTCTCATCTTTACCCCTCATGTGTTGGTACCCGCATTAACAGTTCAGTGTGTCCTCAGCACTATGGCATCCATGACATCAGTAGTGCAACATGTACGCCTCAAAATGCAGTCACTCCAAGCATGGTTTTGATCCGCTAACAGACCCGCCTCATACCCTGTTATGGGTGACCTTGGAACTTGCCACCCAACTTTCTTGGTGGCACTCTACTCAAAACCTGACAATGGGATGACCCTTCCAACAACTGTGTCCCCAAATACAATTCACCACCGATGCCAGTCTTACAGACTGGGGTGCTCATTGCAAGTCTCTAAAGATTCACACCCAATTGTCAGAAAGAGAGAAGCTGCTCTATATCAACGAGCTGGAACTGTTAGCAGTGATAAAAGCGTGCAAGGCTTTCAGAGAGCATCTTGTCGGCAAAATGGTCCAAGTCTCCACCGACAACACAACTGCGATGTATTATATCCTCAAACAAGGCGGCACCCGCTCTCCAAGCCTTCTGCATCTCGCTGTTGACCTGTGGGAATGGTGCCTGTCACATCATATCTGCCTCACAGCAATACACATAGCCGACCAAGACAACAATCTGGCAGATCTTCTCAGTCGCAAGGAATTCCAGGCTCACGAATGGGAACTGCACCAATCTGTCTTTCTTCTCTGCACATGGTGAGGCAGACCCACCATCAACCTTTTTGCCTCCCGGACAAATCAGAAGTGCAAACGCTACTGTTCCCGTGCAGGAGTCGGCAAACATTCCCATGGTGACACATTCATAGGCTGTTGGTCCAAGACTCTCACTTACCTGTTTCCACCATCCCTGCTCCTCCACAAAGTCGTAGTTTGGCTTCAGCAAGACAAGCCCAATACAATTTTGATAGCTCCATGGTGGCCACGACAACCCTGGTTCCCGGTTCTCCACCAATTTTTATCTAACATCTATTACCTGTCCTGCCTACCTCACCTCCTCATGCAGGACAGAAATCAAATTCTCCACCCAGACCTACCTGCCCTTCATCTGGCAGTTTGGAAGATTCTGCCTCCCTGATGAATGTCCTCCATCAGACAAAGAAATCCTCAACCAGGAGAGCTTGCTTCTACAAATGGAAGTATTTCCAGTCTTTTACTACCATTGGTCAATCCGTCCCTTTCCACTGTCCTTCATTTCTTACTTTATTTGAAAACCAAGGGCCTCTCCCTCTCCTTGAGAGTTTATCTTGCTGCAGTAGTCTCTCATCAGCCACCAACCTCTTCAGCAGTGCAATTCTTCAAATACCCTACTCTGAAGCATTTCCTTAAAGGTCTGTCACACATGTGCCCAGACGTGCACCCACCCCCACCTCAATGGTCTTAGACAGTGGTACTGCAACAACTTGCTCAATTTCAATTTATTGTCGTTGAACGTATATACACCATATACACCTACAACAAAATTCACAAAGAACACTCAGAGACCAGACCAAAACACACATACACACACACACTTGTAACAATCCCTAAGTCCCCAAATCCCACCCAAGAGCTCATGGTATCCACACAACATACAACCCAACAGACCAAGTAATAGTAATACAGTCCAACATCTCATTGCTGATTATTCTTACATTCCTTATTAAGTGCAATTATAGCTCTAGAATAAAAACTGTTCAAAAAGCATGTCGTCCGAGTTTTAATTGCTCTGTATTTTCTGCCAGAAGGCAACAGTTCAAAGAAGTTATAAGCAGGGTGGGAAGAGTCTCTGAGAATATTAAATGACTTTCTCAAGCAGTGAGATGCAAAGATGTTGTCCAAAGTTGGAAGCTGAAGTCCAATAATATTTTGGGCAATTTTAATAATTCTCTGCAAAAAAATTTATCTATTTCACAGCAACTCCCGCATCATGAGGCTCCATTTGCACCCTTAGCATCTCCTGATCTTAGACTGCTCACCTCCTTGCTATTACATCCACTCGTCAAGCCAGTGAACTTGCAACCTTGCAGTCTGATTACCCTTATCTTCAGTTTTATCCATATAAGGTTAAACTGTTTGTAGATATTTCTTTTCTACCCAAGGTCGTCTCCCAGTTTCATCTATCCCAACCATTAGTTCTCCCATCCTTTTTAAGATCCCCATCTACTTTTCAGGAGAGAATCCTTCATATCTTAGATGTCAGAAGGACTCTGGCATTTTATTTAGTCCACACACCACCCTTTCAATGTTCAGATGGACTCTTTGTCAGTTACCAAGTCCCTACTAAAGGCATTCAAGTGACTTCTCAGAGAATTTCTAAATGGGTTGCTTCCGCCATTCACCCTGGCATACCAGCTGGTTTGACTGCCAGCTCCTCAAGTTATTCGCCCTCATCCTACTAGGGCAGTGGCAACATCTACGGCATTTCTTCATGGCGTTCCCCTTCCGGATGTCTGCGCCTCTGACGTGTGGTCACAGCCATCCACATTCATCAAACATTACAGATTAGATGTTCGGCAAAAATCTGATGTGGCCTTTGGACGTGCTGTACTCTCCTCTACCTTGGCGTGACACCCTCCTCCGAGTAAGACAGCTTGTTAGTCACCCAGGGTGTGATTCACAGACGCCACGAAGAATGACAGGTTACTCACCTGTAATTGTAGTTCTTCGAATGGACCTCTGTGATTCACACATGCTGACCTGACCTCCCCTCTGTCACGCCATGTACCTATTCTACGTGGCAGTTGACCTAACTAAAGGGAGAGTCTTGGTACCATGGTACTAAGGGGGAGGGGTCTGCACTAATGTGTTTTTTTGCTACTGTAGAAGTTCTAGAA